GGTTTTCTCAACTATAAATCTCATGTAGGGGCCTTCATAGTTCTAAAAGGGTCTTTCGAATTCAGTGCTAGTTTCTGGAGATCATCCCGGCCCCTCAGCGCCCGCCAAATCGGGAGGTCAGCGTGCTGCGAGCCTTGTCAACCGCTCCCTACCAATTCGTGGAAAGTAAGCTGTGTGAGTGTTCATCACCCCGACCAAGCGCTCCTTCCCAACGCCGGACCCACACCTGGGTCTGATTCATCCTGAGTCTCCGCTTTGCAGAGAAATACGTGGATCAGTCAGTCAACAGCATGAAGCTCCCTTTGCGGCGAACCTTGGAAGTTGTTTGAAGCCAAGCAACAGTGTGTGGATGAGTTGTGCCACGGTGCGTGACCTACAGCCCCAGCAGCCCAATAGCCAGTTGCCGACATCGTGGCCGAGTCCATGTTGCGCATCTTGGATCTCGATCGATCTTTAAGGCCAGCAATCCAGCCACATGTCGCATCAGTGCTTCGGCTGTGTCCAAATGCTACTTGCACCCAATTTCGTTCAGCAGTTTGTCCTGGTGCAGGCTGACTCGACACGAGTTTTGCCTCGCAGCCGTGGTGCAAAAGCTCGCACCCCCAGCGGAGGCAGACAGTTTTTGGCATTTCAGCCGGCGAAAATTCGCGGGCCATGTGAATGCAGAGACATACTTTTATGTCGCTGGCAGGCCCCTCACATATTTGAGATGCTGTGCCATGGGGAGCCAGGCAGGTCACCCAAGCAGGGTTCCAAACCTCTTGGCTTGGAATGATTGAAGTGCTTTCGCACAGGTCTGTGCACCCTGCTTCATACATCTGCAAACGCCGTGGCCGGAGCCCTGCAACCCTCATGTTCGAGTTCCTTCGACACGTCGGTAGTTTGAGGTCAAGCTGGACGGATTGAAGTGCGGCCGCCACGTCAACTGAAGTCAGCATCTGCAGGGCTGAGAAGGTAGGAACGAGGAAAGATTCGCTCCCGAGTGAGAGACGCAGACAGTCACAGACCAGAAACGGATGCGTGTAAGGATTGGGCTGGGGAACACATGCGGGGTGTAAACTCGATGGAAATTAGAAGAAGGAAGCAATGAAGGAAGGGGTTGTTGCAGCCCAACAGGCCCAGAAAACAAGGAGGAACATGAACGCTGAATGCCCCACCTGGCCCAGCCTTGGAAGCCAACAAAGCGCCAGGTGGCTGTACTTGATTGCTGCTCGCCCAGACGATATACCTGCCGAGACAGCAGGACCTCCGATCAGTCTTGTCTGATGTTCTCAAAGATCGGTACACTTTGGAAGGCGAGAAGGCGACAGCGAAAGTCGGCATCAAGCACGAGAAGGGACGAGCAGATAAAGACAGCAGCTGGGTGGCAAACTGGCCCCGCCTGGTTTTCTTGTTCCAAATGTCTGCATCCATGAGGCGATCGTATCCATCGCCTTCGCCGGGTGTGGACCGAGACTCCGGCTGCTCCAAAGCAGCACTCAGCGTTTCCCTCGTGTGACGGTGCCTCTGCATGCGTGGCATACGAAACAACGGCTTGATGCAGAGCATTGACGGTCGGGCTACATCCTCCTGACCAGAAGCTGGCATAGCATCAATACCCGGAGCGCATGCTTTTGAGGGCTGATGTGCAAGTGAGTCCGCATCAAGCTACCCAGGCTGATACGGCTAATCAATGTAAGGACGCCGAAAAGAAGCAGCCACGGAACAACATGCTCCACTTGCCAGTCTTCTGGAATGTCGGAACAGCTCTGACAGCAATCAAGCACAGGTTTTGTATCATGCCTAGGCATGAATTCAAATCATCGCATACAGCCAGCGGCTGTCTTATACCAGGTTTTCAAGCGGCTGCGCGAGGAGCAAGAGCGCAAGGTGGAGGAGCTTCGGAAGCTTCCCATACACAGCAGGGATCAGAACGGCTGCTCAACAGATCTTGCACTGATCAGAGACGCCGAACACGAAGGAGATGCTGAGTCATCAAACTCAAGCTGACAAAGATCCGCGACCTGACTCGCCACGGCCAGCTCACCAGATTTCACCTCTGCCTCTCTGCTCGCACTGCACGTGAGGTCTGCTGGGCCGGGGCCGGTGCACCGGCTGCTCTACGAGGATGCCATGCGCCGTGCAGCGCGCCGCGAGGTGTACCTAGAAGAAATCCGAAGCTAGGACGTGGGGCGCTTTACGGCAAACAAGTCTGCACGCTAGGCCGAGCCAGTTGTGGCCAAACCCTCTCGGAGCCACGATCCCGAGGACTGGAGACTCGAAGCTGCACCATCTGTGTTCTCGCATGCGATGCTTTCTGCACAGTACATCGATCGACTTGCCAAGCCGACGCCGAAAGAAGAGGAAGAGCAGGAGGCACATCTTCACAAACCGACAGCCTTTCGAGGCGCAGATCGGGTCCTTTCGCACGGCCGCAGGTCATTGCAAAGAAGAAGCCGGTCAACATTGGCGCGGACCTCTATCAGGCAAGGTCAGCAGTCGTATCTGTGGAAGTCGCGCCGCCAAGATCGCATTATGCAGCTCGCGAATGAAAAGCGGGTCTGGCACGAAGTCCGGGAACGGCAGAGGCCCGCACCGCGTCGCCGGAGGAGACTATCTCGGGTCGAGTTTCGCCAGGCAAGAGAAGATGGACGAAGAGGTGCAGCTAGGCTGCAGATCTTGGGACGATCTATCTGCTCCGTGCAAGAGGGGTCAATCTGAGGAAGGGATTTGAGCAAGCAGCGGCGCAGCTGCGAGACGAGGTTGCGAGGCCGGAAAGCACTTGTAAGTGGCTGAGATTGACAGTGTTTGACTTCAAGTACTCAGCCGCTCTACTACAGCTGTCCAGATCTTCAGGAAGTCTCGGATGACCATCGCTGTGCGGCGATGGAGAGAGATGCTTGCCCAGGCATCTTGAAGTCCGAAGAACCCCCAGGCCCAAGGAACTTGCCGTGTGAGTGACGGACAGGTTCTCCTGATCGCTGCTTTTGCTCCTGGGTTGAGGGTCGGGACCTCGTGCTCTTCAATCAGTCACGCGCAGCATCCCGTAAGAGGCACATGCTGCAATCGCGGCTGGAAGGCTGTACAGTGCACAAGCTGGCACTTGTTTGTCGTTTGTCTGGTGGTATGTCTTTCTGGCACAGAGCTCCAGAGGAAGATTCCTGTAAGCAGACCGCTAAGGCGGAGAGTCACGGAGGTGGGTTCCTATGATCCAGCTGCAGTGATCAGTGGACGGGGGATCATGGGTTATGCATGCCACACACCTGCCATAGATCTTTAACCATTCAATCTCATGCATCGGCATCCCAGAGACCTGTGCAGATGGCGTTTGGCAACTGCTCACTCTGGCTGCAGGAAGTTCCAAGGCGCATAATCCATGAACTGGCATTGATGATGCGTGGGCACATGTCAAGTCACAGCCAGGATCATCTTCGTTTGGCCGAGGATCACGATGGTCTCCTGTCTGTTGCAGGCAGGCATAGCCGGGGGAGGTACTTGTAGGGCTATGAACAGAAAGAGCTTGGAGGTGTTTGGTGAGGGCATGCAGCGGAGATTGAGTTGCTTCCGTAGGTCCCCTGAACACTGGCATATACCTGAGATGTTTCTGGACCGGTGGATGCTGGACCCTCCATCAAGGGGGATAAGCGCGAGTAACCGCATTGTCTCTGTCCGTCTCCGTTGCAGGCGGCGCAAGCGTCAGTTGGAAGGACAAGGTCCGCATCACGATGACAGCCCGCCTGAAGCTCCTCGTGAAGTTCAAACAGGTCTGAGCTGAGGGAGTATTTCGAAGTTCTACTTCGAAGTGTGAGATGTCTTGGAGGTGGAGGAGCAATGGGGCAGCGGCCTCGAAGAACTGCTGCAGGAGTTCCTTTCGCGTTGTTCTCTCCCTCGGGCACGCTTTCGACCTGCCTGCTGCATACAGGACTTGAACCCCGACGTTCCTCGCTTCGGCCTGGAGAACTTGAAGTCTGGGGTGCGGCTCTTTGACGCCTTCACCGGTTCCGGTTCAGGGGAATCGGTGCATCCGGCTTCTCTGCCGAGGCCCCATTCCATGGTGGCGGGTTGACTGCATGGAAGCCCGATCGGACCTGAGAGCCTCATGAGACTTCATGGCCCTACGAGTCGGACAAGCCCGTCATCTGAGGGTGGTCACAGTTTGGGGGCTACGCAGCAGTGCTCTCAGCTTTGTCCGTTGCCAGACCGTCGGTTACTGGTCAGCAGATGAGGTTTGCGCCCTTTGAAACTCCGGAGCCGAGAGTGGCACCGTTTGAAGCTCCGTTTGAGGCTCCCGTTCTTTGTCATCTGTTTCCCACAGTCTGCAGGACCTCCGACGGACCTGAATCTCACTGTAACAGCCTACTTCAGATTTCCAGTCCGTTCTTCTGGAACACGTTACTCCGTAAACGTACTGCGAAGTTCCTGGCAGGCGGCCGCGCCGGCCGCCGTCGAGCCCCAGCGCCTCCGTTCCTCAGCTTTAGCGGCTTTGGCGGATACGAGTGGTGTTAGCAAAGCTCCATCGAGGCGAGACGGGCGGACAAAGAAAGGCGAAGCCTTGCTTGAAGGCCCAAAGCGGCACTTCTCAAGGGAGTGCTTCCACGGGAACGCCACCTCGAAGAGGCTCCTCGCTTGTGACCTTGGAGATCCTGGGTCCCTTGCCTATCGCCAGGACTGCCGGCGTACATGCCTCCCGCGCGGCTTGAGCAAGAGGTTCCTCTGTCTCAGAGCGCAAAAGCAGCCAACCGCTCTGATTGGGCACGGTCGGTGTCTTTGCTCTAGCTATGTCGCGAGAAGCGAGGCAGCTGCGCATGTCACCGTCGCCCTCAAGCTCGCCTGTGTAGAATGTGCTTACCATACACTCCTCTGATCCCTTCAGCGACCGGTGGCCGACGACATCGTCGCACATTGAATTCGGGCCTCTCCCGTCTCCCGTAGCACTGCAGACGACCCAACCCAGCAGTACTGCCCGGAGCACCCCACTTGCGAAGCAAGATGCTGGCAGCGGCAGCGTAGCAGGCGCAGCGATGGCAGTGGAGGCTCCAGAGGACCTTTGACAGAGTGCCCTTTTGCACTCTCTTGTGTCTGTCAGACCAGGCCCTAGGCCTGCAGAGCCCTCTACAAGCCCAGCTCAGCTCCTGCTTAGCGAGGATGCCGGAAACTGCAGATATGGTGAAGCGTTGGAGGTTCATCTCCAGCTGGCTGCTCAAGACGTTCTTTCCTTTTGGCGCATGCTCGCACTGCACGGCCACGTCCAACTCAGGAGCTCAGACCCGAAGGTGAGACAGCACTCTGTCATCATCCTGGGTCGCCTGCTTAGCTCATGAACTCATGGCATCCTCTGCAGGCTTGAAGCTGCTGTTTGTGACTCAGAGCCTCTGAAAGGTCATGTGGGCGAAAGGGCACACCCTTCGCATGCCGCCGTGGTGGTAAAGCGATTCCAGGCGCTATGCGCTAGATGAACATTGGTGTGCAGGGTACATGGCCGAAAACGCTGGAAGTACGCTAGTCGTTTCGCATTTCGGTGTATATACAATACTTAGACTATGCAAGGTTATGTGTAATACATATACATATACATATATCGATCGGTATTATGTAAAGATGTATATACATAATATATGTATGTATGCATATGCACGGCTTGTCATCGCTTTCGGGTCCCGGCGCTCAGCATCCAGTGGAAAAGCACAGGACAGCGAGCCAGCGGTGTTTGCATCCACCGCTGTGGCGCTCGCCCGGCTAGGTGCACCTGGTGCACCTCGGCTAAAATCCGCGAGTGGATTATCTGTGCTTGAAGTACACGCGTTGAACAAGCTGGTGAAGAGGCAGCCGCGCTCGCCAAAGAACTTGGTGAGGAACGGTCCGAGCTCGAGCAGCAGGTGGGACACAGCTCTGCACAACTCTTCGCTTCAAGTCCGGCGCTACAAGGTGGTTTGCGAAGCACTCGGCCGCATGCCGAACTGGCAAGCGGCAGTGGCCCACATGCCAGCATTGATGGCAAGGCTTCAGGACAAGCTGTCTAGTCAGTAGTTGTATTGTCTGCGTAGCAATTGGTACTCGGGAAGTCAGTGAACGCAGGATTCGGCTGTCAACACCCGGCGGGCGGCAGCAGAAGCGGTGTGTCGGCTCACCTTCATTGGTCCGAAGGAGGTGCCAGAAATCTCGCTGCCTGGGATCTCGATGCAGCTTCTTAGCAGTAAATCGTGACACACACACACAGAGCGACTGATGGCCAGATGTTCGACCTGGCGGAGTAGCCTGTGCAACATGCATGTAGGCCCTCGATGCCTGTCCTGGACTCCAACATCAGCTGGTTGGGTGCTTGAAAGACGGCGAGGCATGAAGGGCCTTCCACATCTGTGCTGGCTGCGGAAGCGACTACTTTGACCTGGACCGATGATTAAGCTACTGCTAGTGCTCCACTATAGCTTTGGCATACACTGACTCCGCAAGGATACCGTAAGATTTATTGAAACTCACCTAGGCACAGCAGCCTCTTCCGCAATGATAAAGGCGTGCATCTTTACACATGGCCCTGGCCTCTTAGCAAATCTTGTGCCGGCCATGGGCAATGCCTGCCGCTGCGACAGCTGCGAGACGGATGCCACATATTTCGCGCTCTCAGAGTTGAAAAGGAGGCCAAGGATTTCTAAGCACCGGTAGTAGTGCGATTTGCGGTTTTTTTCGTAGCAGAGCCAAGAATACCTCCCTGACAGGTTAGAGGGCCAAACCAAAGTGGTGCAGCCGGATCCCAGGCCCTTTGCCACAAGACTCACCAGACGCGTGGACCCCGCCATTGCAGCTGCAGGATCGATCCAAAGGTACATGTCACATTTCTCGCTGCCGGGGCCCCAAGCAAGGCCTGAAGATGCAGGCTTGATATATATATATATATAAACAGATATAAATAACAAATATATATATATATATACCTATATATATATATATATATATATGGATATGGGATCCCAGCACAGAGCCCCTCCGCAGATCCAGGTGGACAAAGAAGATGGGGGAGCTGTATCCTTCAGCCCGGTGAAATTCACACTGCTCCCTGCCACGCAGACGAGACTCGCAAGCATTGGCTCATGACCGATCCGAAGCATCTGCAAAGGCGTGACGTGCGATTCCAGACTTCCTGCCTCATTGAAGGCACAAAGGCACCAGACGTGGCGTCAGTGTCGGTCTGATCCTACTGTGGCAACGAAAGTAATTATAGGAGCAGTGGGAGGGGTACTAGGGGGAGTAATAGGAGGAGGAGGAGGTAATAGCAGCAGCAGGAGTAAGGTCGTAGTAAGGCCGTAATGAAAAGATCAGGAAGTAGCTATGCACGCTTTAATCAGTAGTAGCTAGAGCAAAGGAACTTCCTGCCGTAAGCGAGCCAGACGGAGCCCCAACCGTTTCGGCCTCGTTGAAGGGGGTGGTGATCGAAGAAAGCTTACTACTGGCAAGTGATTCAACCAAATTTCATGGGGTCGCGTGTCTTACAAATAGTTCCTCCTTGCCAGACGCAGCTTGCTGGTGCGGCGGCTGCAAAGGGTGCTGCGGCCGGCTGCAAAACGGCAGGAGTGAGTGAGGCCTGGTGCAGGGTGAAAACTTTGCGGCCTGACGGCCTGAAACGGCAGATCTCCAGAGGTTCAGGCTGTCTTTGACCAGATGCATTGCATTATGCATTGCATTATGCATTGCAATATGCAACAGTCAATGCAGCTACAAATCTTGCTTTCTATTCGCACTGTGACCAAGGGTCTTGCCAGAAGCATCGTTAACGGCATGGTGTCCGCTGGACGAACAGCTTCTTCTGCCGCTGACTCGGCAAAGGACTCCAACCGAAGACCCGGTATTCACCCAGTCTTCTTCAACTGAGCAAAGTGCTGTGTCGAAGGAGATGCTGCGGTTTGAGACTGCAACCCAAAGAACTGTCAAAGTAGATGTCACCGTGGACTTGATCAAGGAGTATCCTGGCTGACATAACTCGGTGAGTATATGAGCCCCATACGTACCACTCGTTGCTCCTTAATTATTATTTTAAGATCAGCACTGTGTGTCCGAATTGCCTGACATGCAAGCTTCCGCGAATCCAAAGAATTTTAGATCGACAAGCCGCAGTTTTGTTAAGAAAGTTCAGCAGTTGCATATACTTGACTACCTATGCAAGCATGTATTTCCCTGAAGTTTCCACAGTCCAAAAACACGAAGCATCCTGCGACTTTCAGAGTCCTCACGACAACATCCATGCAACACTGACTACGAATCCTTGCTATTCAGGCCCCAGTCGTGGCACGATCAAACATTGGCGCATATTAGTATGGATTCGTATATGTTGGTTTACAGTCTATATGGATAAGCTAACTTTTTGTGTATGTACAAAAATCTACTAGTATCTACTAATGCCTGCCTACTCTTTACATTTACATAGCATATGAGCAAACCAAGGCACCATTTGTACATGTATGCGTATGTCCGTCTGTCCGTCCGTCCGTCTGTTTGTTTGTCTGTATGTTTGTATGTATGCATATATGTGATCAGAGCCTCGCCATGAACCCCAATCTGTTCCTTTCATGAGCACACCTACTTCCAAAACTGCAGAAAAGATTTGATGTTAATTGGGTTTAGAGGTTGGGCTTTAGGGTTTGTGAACAGTGGGGCTGGTTGGCGTGAGCTAAGTATGCAGGCTCTTACAAGGGTCCAGCAACTTGCCATCCTTGGGTCTACCTCGTCTTGGGTCAGCTTGTGGCTTGTGGGAGTGAAATCCGGACGCAGCCTCCAAAATAGAGGTTTAGGGTTCAGGGTTTAGGGTTTAACATCCTGAAGATTTAGATGCTTCGGCCATTGCAGCCCACATTTTTGTCAATGACTTGTACCTATGCAGCTCTGCTATACACCTATACACCATCATGGGGATCCAGAAAACTATGGGTCCCTTGTTAGAGGTCCTTGTAGTAAGGATCTTATTGTTTTGGGTCTCTGTTGGGAGGGTTCTTTCTCAGCTGACTCCATCATCGTGCTAGCCCATGCCCCTGACTTAACCTCTGAGGTCCTGAAGAGAAGCAAGATGGTAGATGCGCTTATTTGTCCACCTTTTTGCAAACCTTCACTGATTCACGGCTTTTGCGCGTAATTCGGATCAGCGGCTTTGAGGCTGAATGTCGAAGAAGTTTCAGCTGCTGGAATGCATTTGGGCATTGTCAACGGCACAGCAGTCTGGTGATGTCTGATGTCTCAGCGAATGTCTCTTGCTGCTGCAGGGTCGCGGGTCGCTATGGCTGTGTGGTTTCCATTCTTCCGGTCGGCGATTCGAGCTCCCTACCGCAAGCGCAACGGGCGAAAATATCGCCGTACTTCCGGAATTGCTCGCAAGCCCTCCTTCAAGTGCTGGGCTCTCTCCTCGTGGCCCTGCCCCCTCATCGGTCCAGGGCTCATGCATAGCACTCTCGCATGTCAGATGCTCGTAACCTGGCAATCGACAACAAATCGCTTGCGTTGAGCTCAACATGCTTCTGCAATCGATGCTCCTGCCAGGGATAGAAAAGCAACAGAAAGCAGCACATGCACCTGTACAGGAAGGAAGAAATACTTGCCACGGAAAGAATCTCCGCACATCTTGGCTGCGCGACACAGGAGAGACCCCAGAGGCTCACATCCACCCACATGCACACGCTGCTAGATTGTTGCATGGCGTTGCTTCTGTCATGTGTTCCTATTGTAAATCGCACCCCCGATTAGGGTTGCGATGACAGTTGTGGTGGTTCTTGTTGATGTGATTAGTACAGTCGTCGTTGGGTCTGCCTTGTTCTGCTTGGGTGCATTGTGACACAGCTGCAGGTGCCGATAAGTAAGCGCATAGCAGCTATGCAGCTGTGCGCCCAAGCCTTTGCACCCGTGCCTCTGAGGTCGTGATCAAGGATTTCCGCACCGATGTTAAGCTTGCAGAGATGATCCTCTCCGTCAAGACATTCCGTGGTTTCGTGCTCCTGCAGCACTTGTCTTCTGCTGCTTGCCCGCCCCACTTTGCTTGTTCTTCCTTTCTCATTTCCCTGCGTTTCCTGTGGTGCACTTTCCGCTGGTGTCTTACTATATGTGCAAAGGAGAAGCAGCCAGGTGAGTGACTAGCCTTTTTCTGTCATGCAAAAGCCCTGCTTCGGTCAACCTCGGTCTTCTGACATGTACCTTGCCATGGAGCTTTGTTGCATTTGTTTCGCTACTTCGCCCGAGATTTCATCAGTATGTCTGGATATTCGAAAAATATTAGAAAAGAGTCTGTACAGGATGTGATAGCCAGCCAGCAGAAAGTTGCGATCCTTTTGTCATACTTCTGCTCCGGGGTGGGAACTGGGGAGATGTGCTGGGAATGTGGAAACTGAGGTGGAGCGAGCAATCTCGGCCAAAGCGAGCGAGATTGCCACGAGGCGCATGTTCTAGTCCCTCGTGTGTAACTTGTTTCTCCTGACCGCTGGAATCCAAGCAATCTGCTTCTTGCAAAGCGATGCCGGCTGTGTTGGAGATCCTTCGCGGGTTTTTTCTCCTGATAAGTGACAAACACAGACAGTCACTAGCAGTCCCACGTGGTAGCCTTTCTCCCCTGTGTGCAGGATGGCAAGACAACGGACAGACGGGTTCTTCAACAAAGTGAGCTGCTGCTGTTAATGCTGCGAGCTTGCGAAGCTGGCGTGGATGTCGTTCCCAGTCCAAAGGACAACGTGCATCCTCGGAGGTTTGGATCCGATTTTAAACAGCTGCAAACAGCTTTGCTGACTCGCTGAATCGGCATCAAAAAAAGTCTTGAATTGACTGTTGTGTGTTTTTGCCTTGAGGAGAGGCAGGAAGCAGAAGCAGAAACACCCAAACCCGTGATGGTAAAGAGGATGCCAGACTGCATCGGCATAGAGTCTAGAATTCTAGAAGGAGTGGTTTGGCACATGCTGGAGTTCCGGGCTCTAGAATCAGATCGTGGCGCAGGCATTGGTGCGGGCTGCAGCGGCAACAGCAGAGGCACACACCGCATCTGCAGGCGGTGCCGACGTGCTGGGCAGTCTATTGAAAGAAGACATACCAGCTTCAGACGAGGACGAAACTAGTGTGCGCAGTCTGCGCATAGCTGCTGCATTGCACGGCTTGTCGCAGTGCCCCGATGAGTTTGTGAGCCCGTGGATACACCTCGTGGTGCAACGGCTGGACGATCCCTCACCCAACGTACAGCATGCAACGAAGGTCGCTCTTGGGTGCTTAGGCAGCTCTTGCGCCGATTCGATTGCAGAAGGCCTCAGTACGGAGGATCCCTTGCTCCGCGCAGGCTTGGCTCGTGCTCTTGGCTACGTGGGCTGTCCAAACGCACTACCTTATACCAACATGCTGGCGAAGTTGTTGGACAGAACTGTTGAGACACATGCAGAAGTTCGAATCGCTGCTGCAGAAGCACTTTGTAGACTCGGACCTCAAGCAGGAAAGTCCGCTGCATCTGCTCTGACAGACTACCTGCTACTCTGCGAAGGTGAGGCAGGATCTCGAGAGATGGAGGCGGCACAAAAGGCTTTGGTTGGTTTGCAAGATGTGACTCACGAGCTGCTACCTCGAATTCTCGGGGATCCACGTCCGGAAATGAAATGTGCTGCGCTGGAAATTTGCGAAGCGCTTGGGAGCGTCGGCGCAGAGTTGGTTGATGGCATTGTCGAGTCTGCAAGTTGCCCGGATGACCTAGTGAGGCAGCGCACGGTCCAGGCTTTGAGTGTGGTTTCCGATGCGGTCATTTCCAACAAAGTTCTTCCCAAGCTTCTGCAAGACCCAAGCCTGCTGGTCTCGAAGATGGCAGTAGCAATGGCGGGTAAGTTGGGAGCTTCCGCAGCCACTCACGCAATGGCTGTGGCAAGACATTTGACCAGCTTCGATCCAGATCTTAGGAGAACGGCTGCGCAGTCCTTGGGGCAACTGGGTCAGCTGCCAAAAAGTGTTGCCAAAGATATTGCATCAACCTTCAAGTCTGAGAAGAGGGAGGAGGTGCGGAGGCTGCTGATCCAAGCCTTGGCAGCACAAGGCCTCGGGCCCCAGTGCTTCAGACTTTGCAGACTTTCAAAGCAGAATCCTTTACTACTGCGACGCATTGCAGGAGCAGCGGCCAGCCCCTTTGGGCAGCTCTTCCACACAAATCTCAAGGCTCAGCCCCAAGGCCTGGCTGAAACCCCAAAATTTCCTGGTTTCCACCAGGACCCGTCCGTGCCCATGCGGGGTGCCTGCATTGACGCTCTCGGATGCATCGGGGAGGGTGCAGCTGGGGCCTTAGATAGCAGAGGCGGCTTGCTCGCCTTGTCGTGTGCTCATGACTGTCTTCCATTGGAAAAGCGCGGTCTCTGCAACTTGTCAACAAGCCTGCAAACCCAACACGCACCCGAGGCCGACCATGCTCCAACGGTCGTGTCGCTTGCGCTGGCGGATGAAGACGACAGCGTGCGACAAGAGGGAGTTCAGGCATCGGGCTCTGATCTCAGTTGTAGCACTGCTTACATCCTCCGCGACCTGCAAAAGGCCCTAGGCCAACTTGGACGACCTGGAATTTTTGCACTTGCTGCACGCCTGGAGGACCTGCTATTTAATTAGGTACTTAGTTGTGCTGGATTTGAGTGATGCTGTGCGGGGCAAGGGGCAGCTCGCTGTAGCATCATGAACGACACGAGCACAAAACAAGCCGAACGTGGTTTTGTCGGCTTTGTTGTGAGGATCCAAATGCAGCGAACCGACGGTCTGTTCTGGAGGCATGGTTGGGTTGGGAGGGACCCTGACTCTCAGTGGCCTTCATGCACTTGCACGAAGTGTATTCCATCAGAAAGGCCTTGCAAGTCCTGTGCAAGCTGCCGGTGACCCAAGAAGCTGGTCCAGCAGTGATGCGGGCACTGAAGGATTCGAGATGCCGGGTAGCGTTCACCAGACGTAGCGCAAACTTCGTGCTTGCTGCAGTGTCCAAGTGAGAGGACAGCACAGCAGAAGTGCGCGGCGCAGCATGCATGACGCTTGCCCTTCTTGCGGCCGAGCAAGTGGCGCAGGCGCGGGCTTTTCATATTTTCAGACTCTGCTTCTGATGTCTCATGGCCTACACTCGCAAAGCCTGCAGGAATCCTCTGACGGACAATCGGCAGACAAGCCCGAGGAAGAGGACAGAAACCGGCTCGAGCTTCTAAGGTCATCCATCTTTGCACCTCTGGCCCGCAGGAAATGAACTCTTTAAAGTACCTCCTCATCTCCAGAGCAAATTAGAGAAGAAGTCACGAGCGACAGGACAAGCTATATCAACTCAAGGTCGAGAGCGGCCTCGTTCGCAGAAAGGGTACCGACCAGGCTAGGCTGTGAGATCCCGTGGATCTTCTGTCTTTCTATGTAGTATGATTATGATTATGGTTACAGTCGTTATTAGTAGTGCCCGTAGAAGCAGAGGTAGCAAGAGTCATTGTCGTCGTAGTGGTCCTACTCGTAGTCGTCGTCGTGGCGGTGGTACTGATGGAGCCGTTATTGTTGTTAGTTGTGATTCTTGTGATTATTATGAAGTGTATGTCATGTCGGCATCCGGAGCGTGTCCTGTGATTCTCCAGTGCCAGTTTTTTTCCACAGCCGGGCGCGAGGCAATGCTCGTGGCGAACAAGTTGAGAGGCCTGCTGGAAGAAGACGACAGCCCGGAGGCCGCGTCGCATTTCGAGCAAGTTGTACACCTCAAACCTCGCTTAGCATCCAGTAGTACTTACTCTGGCACTGTTCCGATTCCAACTCGAGTTCCCTGAAGGTCCAGGCTGGCTGCCTCCATGGGCTACGCGCCGTGGGGCCAAATTTTGCAGGTCCTCACGCGCAGGTTCGGGGCTCAAGGTACGTTGGCTCTGAGCCGTGGGCAGTTCTTCACATGCGAGGCTCTTGCAGGGTTTGCTGGTGCGAGCTCGAAAGACTTCAGGCAGACGGCCTGGGGCCAAGCAAAGCTTCAGTAGTATCGGGCAGGGGCTTTCGGCCCTTGGCTTCGGGCCGTTTGCCCGGACAATGGGGCCAAGAGAGGAGGGACTGCGAAATTTGTCATGCGACAGCCGGCTCTTGCACATTGTTAGAAGCATATAGAAGCATCTCGGCTGTTGCCATGAGCGACCTGAACTATGGCTGGGCGGACGTTCAGACATGCCGCAGCATTGAATAAAGGCTCGGGAAGTTACACTCAGGTCCTGCTGACCCTCGGAAGCTTACAAGAAGCAGCAGTGCCATTCGTGCGCTCTTCAGAAAGCCCCTCCACAATTTGAAGAGGGCCAAATGAATTTCTACGTTCAACCAAGGTGGACTTGCTGGTCTCCCACCTTGGAGTCGAGGGAAACGGAAGTGAGGTTGGGTCGTAAATCCGTAGGTCCGTTGAAGTCACGCGTCTCTTGACATCTCTGAAGGAAGATGTGGAAGTCCAGACTGCAGCGGCCACAGCTCTGGCAGAATTGGGTCTGCCAAGGGCTCAGATCGGCTCATATCGGCTCTTGCTTCGCTGCCTTACACCACCATGATCATGGGCAACAGGCCAACTGGTGCATAGGATCGAACGAGCTGCATCAGCCTTCGCAAGAACACAATGAGTTGCGGGTAATTTGGCAACATGTTTTCCTCAACACCGTTTGCCTTGCAAAATGAAGGTGGGCGGCATCGCTGCGGGAGACACCCTAGTTCGTGATGTGTATTCATCATGACTTATCCATCTCATCCCGCCCGCTACAAATCCCAATGTCACACTGGCTCCTGAGATTTGCAAGCCGGTGCTGGGATGTGCGATCTTTCCGAACCATCGCCCCTGTCACTCCTAGGTACCCGCATCTGCTGTAGATCACAACGGCCTTTCCATTTGCACACACCTGCACGAAGAAGAGAGAGAGGTGATACCTGGAATAAGCTTCAGGTTAGCTGTGTCCGCTACGCCTTCACTGGCTCAACGGCTGCTCAGCGCCTGGCTTGCACTTCAGAGTTGCGTTGATCTCATGCTTTCGCATGTCAGCCATGAGCTCCTGCCAGAGGCGGCTCAACTACCCACACAAGTGATCCACAGGAGATCGGTTTCAGACTTGAGTCAGCTGTTTGTCCGTTCTTAATGGCCTGTGTGCCTTGAACTTGAAGGAAATAGCGGAACGCAAGCATCCAGGCTGCAGTGTGCAGTCTAGTGGTGCCGATTGCCCTGTCCACCTGACTTCTTCGCAAGGGCTCTTGATGGAAGGAGTCATTGGTCGTTTGCCTCATGTTCACATCTAAGGCAAGCTGCTCGATTCACTGTGGCATCTGCACTTAGTCCTGCTTGTGACTAAGACTACACCTCAGGCTATGCCAGGTTCATGTCGGAAACGTTGGAAGTTACTGAAGGCAGAGCCCAGCGGATGCCAGAAGCGACCGGGCCCCCGGAACAGCCGAAACGACTGGGAAGCTTGGCAGCTGGGGCCTCGGAGCTTTCGAGTGACCGTTTCGCTTCAGAACTTGACTCGTAGCTACTTCTAGAAAAGCTGTAAGAGCTTCGGGCGAGCGGCGAAGCGAAACAAGGGCCCTCCGAGGATAGGTCCTGCGAAGTCTAGGGCTTGCGAACCTCAACAACCAAGAGCACCACAGCTGATTCGGTGTGTCCAGGCTGCCCCGCTTGCCCAGATCCGACGGACTGGATTTAGGCGAGTTCGAAGCATCGTACACGCAATAGAGGGGAAAAGCTTTGATGATCCCTGGCAGGCTACGCGGATGCGAAGGCCTCTTGTTTTTTGGTTGGGGCTTCGGGGCCATTAAGCCTCCCACAAGAAGCGTGCGGACTCTGGGTGTCACAGCGCGTCGAAACGAGATGAATCGAGCCTCGGACGAGGCCGTGGCCGCACAGAGACAGAAGCAGCCAACATTCAAGCTCCAGTCGATACCTCGGCCTTGTGCTTGTGGTCACGCAGCCGTGTCCTTTGATGTGCGTCTTCCGCGAGGACAGCTTGCATCCGAGCGCTGGGGTGTATGGGGGAGACAGGCCACGTCAGCTTGAACACGGTCCACACAAAAGTCAGTTTGCACACAAGCCGTGGATACTGTAGATGGAGAGGCGCAACCTTGCTCACGGAGTGCTTGGAGCGCACGGACACTCTGCCAGCACTTAACTTCTGTGCTGATAGGCAGGGCAAGCTAAGGAGGCTCCACGAATCCCGTTTCGAGCCGGCTGATTCACCGGAGCATCTGCGGCCGTGTTTTCTTATTCTGCACGGGCCAAGGAGCCAGAAATTCAAGCGACGATGCTCCAGACCTTGCGTGCTATTCCTGAAGCTTTGAGTTTCAAGGCCCGCAGATGCCCTTGGAATATGTCTGGCATACAACCATGGATCGAACTTCTCTCTGACCGAAGGTTGGACAGGCTGTCATCGGCAAGTTGGAAGATTCCGATGCAGAAGTACGACAGGGTGCTGTTGACTTCCTTTACTACGCCGCAGAGGTCAGACGCTGTGTTGACCAGGGACAATGCGAAAGGAAAAGAGCTGCAACGGAACTGCAGGCCGGCAAAGCAGATGAGATGATCAGCCCGGGTATGTCCAACGAGGATCCCTACATCAGGCTCTGCCCAACAGGATTAATTGATTAAACGACCGACTCTTGTCTGAGAGCCCTTCCTGCTAGGCACCTCCACGTTCAGGCCAGGGGCCCAGAAGATCTACACGCAGCGCAGCTTCCTTGTGCATGGCATAGCGTGTGGCTGGGAAAAGTCATGAGGCCATGGCCCTGCTGGAAACCATCGCGGCACCATACGCTATTGTTGCTGCCCGCCGGCTGCGTGACCCGTGCCCTGGCTGTGCGTTCGTTTCTGGAACGTGCTGGCAGACCTGCCCACATGCACCTGTGCAATTGTGCCTGCGCATACTGCGCGTGCACGTGGCATTGAAGAGCGTGAGCCAGTGTGAGCCTTCGCTCGTCCTGGTTTTCTTCATTTGTTCGTTTGTGCATTAGCTTCGATGCTCGGCAGGTGCTGGTCAGTTCGCACCTGCGCGATTCGGTGCTTGCGCAACATGGGCCCTACCGCGATTCCTGTGCTGGAAGGTGGCTTGAAGGACACGACGTGCTGTGCTGCATAGAGCGAACTGGGCCTCGCATGTGCCCGCATCGCTGGCAGGATGCAGATGTTGAAGTTCGTCTTTCATGTGTGGAAGCATTGGGTCGCTTCGGAGAAGCCGCGAGGCCTTGACCGCTCAAATAGACAAGTGTCGTGATGCATCTTCTGCGGAGCTTCATGGCTCTTTGTTCATGGTTTATTGATGTGCCAGTGACTCCGCGACCGCGCTTGCCAAGTGCCTGTCGGACGAGTCTGAAATGGTTTGGCATGAGGCTTTCGAAGCCTTGACAAAGGCACCCGAAGCGACCTCATGTGAAAGTGGTCGAATCCAAGTTGGAGCGCTGCACCCTTCCTGCAGATCGGTCCAGCTGGTCCCGACAAACTGGCAAAGAGCATTCAGAGCCGGGTTCCTACTGAACATTGTCCGTAACTTGTATTGCATAGACGCATCGGCGTTCAAAAATTGTCGAAGCAAGGTGCAAGCACACCGCAGGCCAGACCACAGACAGCTGTTTGTCAAGCTCTGGTTCTGCAAGCGTGTGACAGAAGATTTGAGATGTGTGTGTGTGTGTGTGCAGCAGGCAGCAGGTACCGAGAGCACAAATACACATAGTCTGTGAGGTGCAACAACGTGCTGTGGACTTCCTTGGTGCCTTTGGCAAGGCTTGTTGGCACTTATTGCTCTGACACTCTTCGTCTGATACAAGGGCGATGCCCTCGTGAAGGTAGCTGCGCCATACGCCCAAGTCGTCGCTGGCCTCCTGGGATGCGGCGCAGACAAGTTGGAGAAGTCCGCGGCGGCTGGGCTTGAACAACCGATGGTTGACATCTGCAAAAGCACCCGATCTCAGGTAGCAGCCCTCAAGTCCATGGGTCTGGATGCTCAGTTTCTCAAGCCTTCCTGTGCTGCCTCTGTCTATGTCCGAAACGGAGACTGATGCAATCCGTGAACACAGGAGAGTCTGGCGCGGCCGCCGTTTCGCCAATTCTGCTGCACCCTACGCCGCCGGTGCACGATTCCATAAACATGCTGGATGACGAGCTGAAGGCTGGCAGCCTCCAGAATCGCACTGCTGCTACCGTTTTTGCTTTTTTGCTCGTGTTCTGACAACTCCTCCATGCCGCATTCAGGAAGCACAACTGCAGCGGCGATTGACTGCAGCAGCTGCTCTCCGCGAGTTTGGTGAGGCTTGAGTCTGAGATGCAGGTTGCACCAGCAGCCGTTTCTGCCATGAGCCAGTCCTCGTTATCAGCTGCATGGAAGGACAGCTTCGGACAAGCAGCAGCTGTGGCGCACTGCCTTCACGACCCAGAGCCTCTGGTGCGGAAGGAGGTGGGAGCGACTAGGGGAGTCCCCCGACAGTCAAACCGAGATGGACTCCGCGGAATGGAAAGGCGGTGGCAACCTTAAGAACGCTGAGCGTTGCCGGCGCAAACGCCCTGGGCAGGAGCCTCAGTAGTCATGTTTTTCAAAAGCCGAACCAAAAAAACTCTCTCAGAAAAATTTCTTTTTTGGAAGCTAAGGAGCGCTCTTGGATGCGAGCATCAAGCTGGATGTGAGAGTTAGAACCTTACACCTTCCAGTGCTGCATAAAACATCGGGGGCCCCTGACGTTTCGTAGGTTTCTCAATCTGCGCCTGTGATTCATGATGTGCTGGTGCAGCACATTCAGCTTGATGTGGGTCTGCATGTGAGGTCCTTGCCATAGACACTCTCGGCAAAATGGGCGATGCCGCCCGAGAGTGGATAGCTCCATTGGCAAAGTGGCTGGAGGATTTCGAGCAAGTTAAAGCCCCTGAATCACCCAAGATGCACAAAACCCCTAGGACCCAGCCCCCCAACTCGAAACCCCCAATCACCACGTCCTCTGACAAGTCGAGAATCCGTGAGGACCCGGCTCCAGAGGTGAGACGAAGCGCTGCAGTCGTGCTCCGCTCGGTGTTTTTCTCATGCTCTCAGCGTAAAATTGATTTTGTGCATGTTGCTCCCTTCCATTCCTTTCCACATCATTCCCACCTGCTTTAATCTTTCTCTCAGCCCAAGTGCCTACTTTGCGAAGATGGTCGTCCAAGTATGTCTCCTCGTTTGAAGCTTGCGTGTGGGAGTCGTGTGCCGTGCTAAACTGAACTGACACAAAAAAATGAGAGTGCATAGGCACTTGTACTGGCAATTGCCGAGGCTCTTGGAGAACTCGCAAATGCGCACTTGGCACATGACTCAGCCAGGAGATTGAGTACCGGGGGCCGAGGTAATAAATGTTGTTTTGCTGGCTTGTGTCAGCTCGATGCCAGAAGAAGTCTGCACATTGCATGCGGCCAAAGAGGGTTGATTTGGCCGGCCTCTGGAGATTCTTTGGAGGTGGGCGAGGTTGCGGAGCACGTTGAGCTTTTGGCAACTGGCGTACACGACGGAGATGCATTGGCACGCCGTAGATGCATAGAGACTCGCCAAGATCTGTGGATGCCTGTTGGGTTATGTTTGCGTTGCGGCTCACATTGCGAATTGCAGCTGGTCGTGGTCGACTCAGGAGACACTGGGGAAGCTTGGCGTGGCTCCCAGCAGCACCAGCTGAGCTGCTATCCAGCGAGGTCGCGTACTGTGAGACTCCTTCGGTGGCATCCCGTCTATCAAGGTGGAAGCGCAAAGCCCTACACGGAATCAATGGCACAGATTTTGGAAGGCACATCTTGTGAGGGAGAGAGAGAGGCAGAGAGTACATGTGGAAGCGAGAGAGAGAGAGAGAGAGAGAGAGAGAGAGTGGAGGCGGAACTGATGTGTACTGTTCACACCCCTTCCAAGAATCACCAAACAACCAGTGGGGCACCCACCCCCTATGCCCTGGAGAAGAAGAGACAGCGAGTATAGACCACAGTGCCGGTTCGCGCCACAGAGATGAGGCCAAGGGGGTAGTTTTCTAGTGTTCGTACAGGGGGTTTGCTGCTCGGGGACCATTGGCCTTATCTGAGATGGTTTCACAAAGAGACCACGCGAACCAGGGCACGTCCGTGTGCGAGGGGGGTATTCGACCTCCTCTTTGGGCTGCGTGGAAGAAGAGAAGCTTGCCTTACATCAAGTGTCCGTCAGGAATCGATAGCTGGAATTGGACGCCCGTCGCAGCCGCGTTGGCTGAATTGGGCACCTCGGAGATGAATCTTAACTCTGATGTTTACTATCCGGCTATCCATTGTTTCGGTGTCCAAAGAAATTTGGACGTACCACCTCAGGTACAGCCACCTCAAAGCATGCCGACATTCTCGCAGACAACCTCGCACACGATGCCCGGTCTGCACCTGCCCCGGTGACTGTGTTTCCTCCGCTTCTGGTTCCTGTTCGATGCCTAGCGACCTAGCCGTGTTAGTCATCGTGTCGAGAGACTCAGGTGCGGTGGAGCGCGGCCAGTGCACTGTCCAAACTCGGTCCGACAGCAAAGGCGCGAGCTGGGTTCTGAATTAGATGTAACCATTGCAAACCTGGCCGATCAGGAGACCATCCCACCCTTGGCTGCCTCCTCGATACAAGCAGCACCGAATCGTCTTAGCAGCCTGCTCAGATGCACGGTGGTGCTAAGGTCGGGTTCCTGAAATCGGAAGAGGTTTCGCTACGTTGCATCGGGGCGCAAGCATTGATGGTCATCGCCGAGGCACTTGCATGCGCTGCTAATGTTCAAAGACCGAAAATTCCATTGCAGCACATGCTGCTTGTGTCTTTTGCCTGGACAGGGCCCAAACAGCCTGGAAGAGTCCTTTCTGCCTTTGCTCTCGGACAGCGATGCCAAAGTGCGACTGGCTGAGAGGAACGAAGCTGGTCTTCGCCTCCCCTTCAGAAGTAGAGAGCTGCAGACCCAAGGCGAGAGCTGGCTTGCCAAGCCTTGGCCAAATGTGGCTGCCGGCAGGTTCGGAGAGAGAAGGAAGACCAGGGAGTGCATCGAAAGCGAGAGAAGCCTCAAGAGATTGGCCCCTCAACCCGATATTCTCACCTCAATTGCCAATCGCCGGATTTCCGCAGACGGAGATGCTTGCAGAGAAGCTGACGGACACAGAGACCTTTGTTCGGCGCGCGGCCGCCACAAGCTTGGGAGTGTCTCGGCAAGATCCGACGAGTTGGCAAAGACGCACCGCGAGTCGCAGTTGAGTGCGCTTTGATGAGCATCTGAGGAACTGGGAGAGGATGCTGCCAAGCATGCAGGCTCCAGAGAGCTGCCAAGTCATAATCTGTTTCGCTGTTAAACTTGACCAAAGCATCCGTGAGGCGACTTAGTCGAGCTACTCCTGGACTTTCACACCTCCGTGTCTATGGCAGCTGCAGCAGCGCTGATCACATTGGGAGAAGCTGGCGCGACTGCGCTCATGCAAAGGTACCTGACAGTGTCCGCATTTGCTGCAGCCTCTGGTGCTGTGCCTCGGGACTGTCATAACGAATCAGCATCTGGCAGGTTGCTAAACGGCGGCAAAGAGCAAGAGGAGGACACAAAGGAGGAAGGGGCAGATGATGACGACGCGGAGCCAGAAAATGGTACGCTGGAGCGAATCATGCTCGATGCTTTGCAGGCATCTTGTCACCTGCATTCTGCAGAGTGTCAATAATTGTTGGTACTCTGGTTCTTCGCAGGGAGCACCGGAACAAGTCATCGAACCATACGCAGACGTCCTGGTTGCTTCCTGGCCGCATCCAAAACACTAGCTAACCGTAGTCACTGTTGGCGGGATTAAGTCCTGGAAGGGCATTTTTTGGGCGGAGAGACCCTTCAGGTCTTTCTGGCAGCCAATGAGCCTGAGATCCGTCTCGCGGCCTGGGCGTGTCTGTCAAAGGCTCCTGAGCTCCTGATTACTCCGACTCTGCATACTACTGGGGTCGTGCAGCATGCAGGTGTCGGAAAGCGCATTCGAGTTCATGGTGAAGCGTGCCACCGACTCGCACGTTGTTGTGCGCAAAGGTGTGGCGGAGGCACGGCGGACAAAAATCGGAACCAAGAATCCGCAGCAGGTGCACACAACTGTGCTTCAGGCGATTGCCTTCTTGCTGGCGGGCAAGGAGGTGGACACACCAACTGGTATGCAAAGGAAGGCCCACCCTGAGCATGTGCGCTTGCGGCTGTTGCAGTTCTTGGCAGTTGAGAACTTGGAGAGGCAGCAGAGACTTTGGCCCTGCAGCTTACAGATCCAAGCGAAGTCGTCAGGCAGCAAGCTTGCGAGGCGAGCAATTGTCCCAGCAGCATAGAATTCGGCTATCCGGCGTCTTACAAGATGCTTATAACAGAGTATCAGACAACAAAAGACAATAGAATGCAAGAACAAATGCAAAAAAAGACACAATATGGTACAATGATGTAAACTGTAACATAGTGTCGTATATTGTAAGGTAATGTACTGTAACCTAATGTAGTCAAGTGTAATTTCATGTAATCTAAGGTAACGTAAAAATGAAATCAATGTAGTGTATTTGAAAAGGTAGAATAACATAACGTAGTATGATATCATATATGGCAGTATAACAGAATATAACAAAACATAACCTCACGTCATATTATCTCTTATAACATAACATAACATAGCAGAGTCCAGTACAATATGATTTAATGGATGTTAAGCTTTTGTACGACACTAGACTATAACAAACTCCACTATATTGTATCGTAATGTCACCTAATAACATTAACAATACTCTCACTACTACTAAGACTAGCAATAATAACAATAACCTTAATAACAATAAAAAACACCACAATGCTAACCATAATAGCAATAACAACGCGAAAACATTAATGTCACACAAGAAAGCATAGGACTATGTAGGAAAACACAATGCAATTTACTTTAACGTAATATGATTTGATATAACGACTGAAGGACTAGAATGGGAAAGGCTGCGACATACTTCAACATGATGTGGTATACTTAAACGTAGAGCAATCTAGTAGATTCCATTATCTCATGATTTGCTATCACACAGTAACATTTGCCAGGGATTTCTGCGGATTGGTGGACCATTGGCCGAAGCTCACATCTCTGACTTGGCAAGACGCCTGCAGGACTTGAAGTGTTTGCCGTGATTTAGGGTTGAAAACTTAGGGTTTGGGTTTAGGCTTTTAGTTTAGAGTTCTCAGGTTCATGTCCATGCAGAGCTCAGCGTGTGAAGGAGCACGATGTTCGAGTGTACCGATCTGTGATAGACACTCTCGGCAACTTGGGGGTGGCTGCTGCCCAGCACGTCTCGCTGATTCGAGCGCGGCTAGAGGCACACTCTCGGTCCTCGACGCCCCTGTATGCATCACCAGCTGTGAGGCGCCAGATGTTCAAGTAAGACGCAGCGCTGCCACGGCGATTGGCAAAATGGGTGCAGCCGGAGTTCCCTCAGCAACTTTGCTGTACATATGCGCGGTCAGGTAGTAAGCCACTGGCTGCGTTGGCCACATCAGGTCCCAATGCTGGTGCTACGGTTGGAGGAGGATGCTGATGTCCCGGTCAAGAGATGTGCGGTGGAGGACGGAAGCGTGTGTGAGGAACAAAGCTTAGCCACGTCACATGCGCTCTGCATGCAGGCGCTGGGTTCGCTGGGAGCTTTCAGCAAGTCTCGCGACTGCATCTTCGAGAACGATTCGGATTCATGAGGATGCTTCAGATGAAAGACCCAAGAGATCCAAGAGCAGCCTACTTTCAGGTGCACATATCCATCCTCACACGCACCCGCTTGACAGCATCGCACAGCTCTGTTCTGGCTGCCACATGACTTTCGACATTGCGAATATGTGACTCCGCGAAAACCGCCCGCCACTTCCCCATGGCCACAACGCCAGCCTTTGGACCAACACACTTAAACAGCATCAGGCTTTGTGAGGTCTAAGTCTAAACCGACGTTTAGCCCGGTAAAGCCTGACTCACACAAAGGCAGGCGGCTGCACACATCGCCAAGATGCAGCTTGACATGGAGAATTAGTCGGATGGACAATGGTAGATTATCGAAGCTAGTTACAATCATGAGTGGCAGGCACGCAAATCGCTTGGCGTCCCACTTGATAATGAACGAATCGGCCCCTGAGCTTGCAAGTAGAATTTTGGCCACATGTAGAGGCTTTCTTCGTGTGCTGCCGAGGCATGCATTCGGCAAGCCTGTGCTGAAGCTCTAGGACAGCTCGGCCCGTCGCACCCCAAAAAACAAGCTCAAGATCCAAGCACGTGGTTTTGAGTCAAGTCGAGGCCTGCTTGCGGTTGCCTGCATGAGCTCGTACTGGCTTTGAATGACTCGGACGTGAAGGCACGCGGCGCATGCAGAAATGGGCAGGGTGACAACGAGGGGAGTCGCAAGCGTCGGAGGTTCGGAGGGCCGCGGCCCATGCATTGGCGGGGCTTGGAGACGGGGCTGCTCCAGAAGCCGTGGTGGGGCCCTCATTGTCTGGCATTGCAAGGTTGTAGCCGTCTCCGAGCCGAGGCGATTGTGCGGAGCATTGAGGACTTTCGAAGCTGTACCTTACGCTTCAAAGTGTTGGAGATTGACCGGGGTATGTGTAGGGTTACGGACTCGGTACACCAAAGCCCTAGTTCGATTTCAGCTTGTGAAGCGGTGCATGCGCGCTATGGGCAGTTCAGTGGGTAACCTCGGTCACAGCGATGTTGACATCTCGTGTGGCGAACTGGGAACGATAAAATAACTCTGCAACCTGCCTATTGCAAAAAGAATCGATTCTGACCGCACGGTGACTGTACTGCCGCAGAGCTCTAATGGAGTCCCTATGGGCAAGCAAACTGACGGCGCCGGGCATTCGAAGCTACCCTGGAAGCGCCTACCGTGCAGCCGCGACTCTTTCGTTTAACATATGTCCGTCACGGGCTTCCAGCACATCTCTGCGGTGGTGTGACTCTCATGCCACCTGTAGCTCTAAAGCACATGCAGGTCACCAGCACGCATTTGTCGAATTTAGCTCACTCCGACTCCATTGCGTCTTGCTCTAGCAGCCACTGTTAAACCAACCTGCACCTTTCATGCTGCGGGCATGGCAGCAATGATATGCAATGATTCCTTCTAAAATTTGGGGCTTGCCAGCCGTCATTGCTTGCGGCGTGGTGTGGGGTTTGTTGAGCCTCGAGCTTGCTTTTTGAATTTGGCACCTGCCCCTATTAAGGTCTGACTGCATTAGCCTTGAGTCCGCTTCGGTTGAGGTTTGCCGGTTCCTCAAATTCGAGTCTGGTTACATCCCAGCCATGTGTCTCCCCCCTGCTTAGGATGTTGAATTTGGGAATGGTGTATTCCGACCAGAATCAAAGGTTTCGTCAGCGTGGTCTGCGTCCCCTAAGGCCGAAATGGACGCTCATGAGAGAATGCCCACCTGGAAACACTAGTTAGCTAGTTGCCAAACTAGTTGCTTGTCGCATTGAACTCTTAGAAAACATCCTCCCGGCCAGTCAGGACACCGTGGACTTGGGCTGAGCGAGATCCCGCTCTGCTTCCATTGATAATGACGCTCATCCCGAATGCCTGCGAAGCAGACAGGGATGAACCTGATCGAAAACAGGTATGATTTTGAGATGAGGTTCACAGCAATGTGACCTCAAACAGAACCTGCAGCTGGCCCATCAATTTATCAAAGCGAAATCTCAGTCTTAAACGGTCTTTCCTCGTGTTGTTTTTTTTTTTAAGGCTTGCCGTTCGCAGAAAAGCCTCAAAGCTCGACTCCACGAAGTGGAGGCTCGGAATTGCCCGCTTGGGTCAGGGAATTGCGTGCCTTGCCAAAGCTGCAACGCCCCGGTACGCTCAGCGCAGGAAAGTGAGGCTCTGAGTCCTTTCTGGACTTCGCTCCATCTCTTCAATACTCTCAGCGTTACCTCCTTGCTGTGCTTGCCAGCAGAGAAAGCTGTGCAATAGGCACATCGCCTTCAACGTCGCAGCACCAGACATGGACCAGAAAGCTGAAGACGAGCACAAGACCAGTCCCAGCGCCTGAGTGGCGAGCGGAGAAAGAGGCGCCGTGGAAGGCCAGAATGTAACAGACAAAGCGACTTGGTAGAAGGCTGATCCCATCACACTACTGTCCAGGACGCTGCTGCTGCAGCTGTTTGGTTTGGTTCTATACTTGTAGAGTTAGTGCTCGTCAAACATTGGCGAGAAGCTCAATCAGTGCGCCAGGGCCTCCGTCTCAACGTCAGTCAAGCTGCAGTGTTTCCTTTGCGGGAATGCCACACGAGGTCATGGGCTCTACGTTCTCCGCACTTTGTCCCCTCGTCGAGTTCTATGACTCCGAGGATTTCGACAGCATTTACGAGGCGCATCCAGATTCGTGGGTTTGATCTTTTATCTTTCTGATTTCAGCTGTTCGCAGATGTTGCGAGAAGCAGCTTGAGGTGGATGACGGCAATTGCATCGGTACTGGCAAGTTTGCCGTGGTTCACATGTGCAATCGCAAAAACCAGCCTGAAAAGAAGTATGCGCTGAAAGTTTGGGCCTAAGTGTCGGCACTTCAGCACAGCATCGATAATCTCGAGAACATTACGACTGCCATGCAAACTCCTGAGGTCATAAACACGCGTGTTGGTGATATGGCCAGCCGCAACCCCAGATGTTGACTCTCTGAGGGTTGCAGGCTGGATTTTGATAATGTGGTCGATTTTAGGCTCTAGTCATTCAATTCACGAGCTCCTGAGGCTTGAATAGAATTCACGAGGAGATCAGTATCCTCCAAACTCTTGGAAATCATCCAGGTGGGAGGCATACGATGGTCATCAGTGTGTTTTGTCCAGTCACCATCGCCCAAGCAGCTTGTCTTAGGGATGTCTCTGCCGAGACGCGTCTGAGCAGCATAGACATGTGGATGGGGCGAGGTCCCGTCGCACCACACGCAAGGTTGACAAGGATTCGCCTGATCACTTGGTGAGTCTTCTGCAACCGGTTTCTTGGGACGATGGACGAGGTAATGGATGTAAATCCGACAAGTCACAAGGATGTGCTTGGAGTATTTGTGAAAAATCTGGGATGCACACGAGTGTGCATTTGCAGTCGGAGGCTGTCGGAAAGCCCGTATCAAAGTTGACTGGCATGTTTCTGAACAAAACGACTGGCAAGAACTTGCAGCAGGCCTGGTGTCTCTGATCGACGTAGACGAGTCTCTACCTGGAGCCATCCGCTCTTTGGCTTGATTAGATCGAGTGTTCCCTTGGATTTAGTTCGGTCTTTAGCTGCTGGAGCCTTCCGCTTGATCAACCTACTTAGCACATCAAACATGACAGCGAAAAACACGCTGTGAAGGTCCAGCACGTCCAAGGCAAACAGTTTTCTTGGCGGGAAGGAGGGTGCTTCCCTGCTGGCAGATGTTCGGTGTGCCCAAGGTTTGGTGCTGGAGCTTTGTGAAGGCAGCGACTGCACCCCATCGTTCTCCGCGCGCAAAGTTACAAGTCATGTCGACACACCCTACAGATAGGCCAAACAGCTTGAGGAAACTGGGTGACCCTGTGTAAGAGCAATCTGCCCCGGCGGACAGGTGGTGAGCTGTACGACCGCATTCAACAGAAGCAGTACTACCCAGAACAGGAGGCCAGGACTAGTAGTTGTTCATCAGTCTCAAAGCGGGCACATGGCATGGACAGAGCACGTTGCACATGGCTTCAGCTTGGCCAAGCTCACGGCTCATCTCTGAGTCCTGTCAACCTGAGTTGACCTGTGTGTCTCGGGCTCTGCTTGCGACATTTGGGACATCTTGCGGAAATTGTTCATTCAGCGCAGAGTTGCACTGTTCATGGTTAAAGTATTGTGACTGGAGCTTCTCATGTTCGGAATGTCCAAACCCCGGACGACTGCTCTGCCAAATTGTGTATGTGGATGTGCACAAGGGCACAGTGTGTGTGTGTGTGTTTTTGGTGAGATCTGGGTTGAACTGTCACAGTTCAGATTTCCGGCCTCGCAGTGGGTCTTCCAGCGACGTAACAGAAAGCATCCCGCAATAAAAAAACGACCACCGGAGCTAGAATAGATTCATGGCTCAGGCTCCACTGCTATTGATGCTGCACGACCTTGTCTTCGTTTTGGTCTTGTTATTCTTACTGTTGTCCTTATCGCTGACACTGTTGCTGTTGGTATCAATTGGGAGGCCAAAGCTGCCGTTCGATGTCTGCTTGAAGCAGTGGCCTACATTCACAGCCACGGCATCATGCACAGGCGAGTTTGCAGCAAGCTATCCTCAAGTTATCCTAAGTACCTTGAGGTCAAGTTCAGGTTTTTGCCGGGGATTGGGGTTGCGGTCCCATAGCGAAGAGCCCACTCGAGCTGCCAGGGATTTGAAGCCTGAAAACATCTTGCTGGCTCGGGGCCCCAGCCCAGAGCAATCAATTGTGTCAATTGTGTGTGTGTGTGTTCTCATGTTGCATTATATACATATATACATATATACATATATATATATATGTATGCAGTGATAGTAGAATCGACCAGACAGTGCATATGACTCATATGACACTATCATATTAGATTATGTGCTGTGCATGTAGGTACATGCATATATAGGTAAATAGATAGATTTAGTCTTTAGAGACACTCTCCTTTGTCGTTCGAGATGTTACTAAGGCCAGTCGAGTCAGCAACACGGAGCTGAAGATCTCTGACTTTGGGCTGGCAAAGATGTCCAAGGAGCATGGCAGTAACTAATGTTCGGGTAGGTCCGGTCACAAAGAAACACCTCGTAGCCTATGCCTGTCCGCTGTAGACCTGGGAGCCAGGGCGGAGCAACCTATTTTTGCATGTTGCTGACAGTTTGGGTCCTGTGGCATGTGCTGTTGGTATTCGCTGTTGTACAAGTCCAGCCCAGTGTCCACTGGTAATACTTTATTTGTTGATATGTATTGCAAATCCTCGCGCCGACCTCAGACCGGGTCATGAAGGAGAATCCGACCACGTTTGCCAGATAAGCTTGGCATGAGGCAGGTCTCCTCCCCAAGTCGCCTGCATGCCGGCGACATACAGAAGAAACAGGTTCCATCCATGTGGAAGCTCACTCTTTCCCATCAGCTGACGGCGCCAGAAGTGGCTGGAGTTTCAGCGAATCCCGTCCATGCATACCCAACAGGATCCCTGTCCCATGCAACCTGGACGTGAAAGGCATTCATGCCCGTGGCACAGGTCATGTCGTTTGAACCAGTCATAGCTGTTATGCCGATGCTCTGAAATCTTCTACAACGTCTATACCTGATCTACACTTCAAGCATGCAGAGGCTTTAGAACCGTCGTTGTTCTTTTCTCATGGTTAAGTTTACCCCGTCAAGACGCACAGGACGTCTGTGCAGACTGAATCGTGTGTCGCTGCTGAAGCGGTACTCTACACACAAGGTGATTTTAATGCAACGAGTGTTGCTGGGCACCCCGAGCCGAGGCTAAACCCGACACCTAGAGTGTGCTGTCAAAGCAACAGCTTCGCAGGATTCATAAACTCGTTCTCTGATTTCAGTTGTTTGCCACCGCATTGTACGTCCCCCAGAGACTATCTCCCAGGACTACCCTCGCCGCTTGCCACGGTCTCACTCAATCTGCGGTTCGGACTTTTACTTGGCCCCAGAGGTGATCAAGCAAGAGGACTTCAAGAGAATCTGCACTGTTGAAACAAAACTAAGATCTATCGGCCGAGATATATGCCTGCTGCGGCACAGGAGTATGGCAGAGAGATCGACATTTGGGCGCTCGGAGTGCCCACCTGAGCCCTGGCACAGGAAATGCGAGGAGCTCACATCACCTTGAACCGACCTAGGTCATCACTTACGTCTTGCTGAGTGGATCCTTGCCCTTCTTTCACAACGTCCTGCACAAGCTGTGAGCCTGCCATGGCATTTGCAAGCGCTAAAAGCGGCAGGGCCGATTCTAGCCTCCCAGCCGCAGCTCGAAATGACGCTTCGGGCGACGTAGTTCCGAAACCCTAAATGGGCTTTACTTGGCAGGTACCGCCAGATCGTGGAACGAGACCTGTCCTTCCCAGATCAGGCGAGAGAAGCTGCGCGACCGCATGATTTCAATGTTTGATGCTCCAGGCGTGGAAAAATGTTTCCAAGGGCGCCTTGGACTTTATCTTGAGGCTACTGCAGGCCAGAGCCTTATAGGCCTGGACCGCCCGCGGACTGTTCAAGTGGTGTTTGCAAAGGTTCGGCCTGGGGATCGCCTCACGGCAGACCAGGCCACAGCACCTTGTCGGTGTGCCACTGCTCGGGCCGGGTTGGCTGTCTCGTAGGCACTGAGCCACCCGTGGCTTCGAAATGGTTCCAGTGCGCAGATGGCTCAGTGCAGAAGGGACATAGTAGGCAACTTGGGGCCCTAAACCCTAAACCCTAAACCCTAGGTAATCAATGCATTGCTTGGCCTTTGCCAGGGCAAGCTTCAACAGCTTCACCACGGCTGAAGTCTCGGGAGGGAACGAGCTCAGCTCTTCAGCTTGAGGCGCAGATCGAAGCCGTAAGGCCAACAGCCAGGGCATGGCCCCGACGGCCAACTACTACAACACCTATGCTGGCGGCTACGGCGGAATGCCTCGCCCAGTGCACGGACCTTATCTCAAGTCTTCGAAGGAGTCTGGCAGACTTCTCGTCGCTCAGGCTGCATCCTCTCGAGCACGCGAGGAAGGCCTTTCTTTGCCAGATGCCGTATCAGTTCCACAACCCGCAGCTGGGCAACGACGAGCCAGGTGTGAAGGCTTCCAGCAGGTGGACCTCTCGCCCTCCTGGCATGTGAAAGCAGACAGGGAAGAACGGTCTTGTTTGTGATCTGGACAGCACCCGCCCTTCAGGAACTTGACCGACCATAGCAAGATCTCTGAGATCCGGGTCAGTCAACTGAATAGTTGTTTGGCTTTAAAGGGGTTGCCGCTTCTTAGACATAAGCAATTATAAGATCGTTAAGGGGACCTACTTTGCAGGCTAATTAGGCTCTGAAGAAGTGGCACCGATGTACCCAAGTTTGCAGGCTCACACCACTGAGTGGCAGCTGGCATACTCACCCGTGCACCCGCACATCATATGCATCCCATAAGCTCGGGTCACTCGGTTTTGAAACACGGAAGTCAAGTGCCGCATCAGTGAGTTCCAATGTGTGCACTGCAGTCGAATCCATTGCACTTTGCGGACACAGGCTCCCTGCACGCAGCACGTCTAATTAGATGCATCCGGCTCAGACTCTGAGGAAAGCAGCGCTGTTCTCAGTTTCTGCCAGCACTGCAGGCGTTCCAGCCAGTTGGGCACAGCATTTTTTCCAAGGGGAATTCTGTTTGCCTCCAACACACAGTACCTTTGTTTGCACTTGCCCTAAGCTGCCCGACCTGGCGGAGGCGGACACAATCGTGCTTGCAAAACTTCCAACTCGTTGGGAGCTGCTACACGGCTACACTCCTCCAGCACCGCATTTTGGTGTTGAAAGCATGCACTCCGTCACCTTGGGCTCCAGCTGCAAGTTGGTAGAAGCTCTCGTCCCAGGCCTGCAGACCAGGAAGCTGCACCCATATCCCGTGCAGCTGATCTCTGAGGTTCCAGACATGGCGGGACGTTCCAATGCACGGCCGCCTGAAAGGGCACTGCCAAGCAAGGCCCTCCAGCTGTCCAAATCGGTGCCTACAGTAAATGGGTGACATGCTGCCACTGCGTGTGAGTCTCTGTGTGATGGCAAGCGGCACGCCAGTTTCGGCTAATCGTGGCAGACCCGGCCATCAGCCCCAGACTTAGTACCACTCCGCATCCGTGCCCTCTGCAGCTCGACGAAGTGCCTGCCTCGCAAGTGCTGTTGTAAATGCAAGGTGGGGGATCCATCATGCAGATGCTGGAGCTGCCTGTGCCACTTACCATGGGCAAGGTGCACACGAATTTCTACGAAGTTCCGAACCACCGACCACTCATTTAGTTACGTTTTCTCATGGCGGCCCAGAATCAGTTGCGCATTCATCGGTGTCACGGGAGTGCTCACCCCACCCGCCAGGTTGCCGCCTTGCTTGAAAGCAAGCCTGCATTTCGATTCCAGGACCTTTTCCGCTGGGAGTTGCCCCTAAACCCTTAACCCTAAACCGTACGAACAACTTTACGGAGAGAGAGTTCCTTGCCTCCAGGAGCTTTGCGAGAACAGAGGCGTCACATCCTTGGACGTCCAGGTTCGTCTCCAAGGTCCCCGGCCTGAAAGCCGAGAATGTCACTGCACGACTTGGCTTTCAGTTCTCGGCTGTTTGATGATCTGCAGGCTTAGACGGTCAGAGAAGGTGTCCTCTCCAAACTGACGAAGACATCGTCGCCCGACTGAGAATGATTCCTTTTTCAGGGTGGGCATACCGTGAACATCGCAAACAGATCTGCCGAGGAAGTCTTCTTGAACAATCTCCAGATTAGCAACATTCCTGTGATAGAGGCCGCCGTGTCGATGTGTCGATAGACCTGGGTTTGATGTCGCATGCGCACGCCCGCAATGAAGGCCCAGCTTCCGCTGGAAAACTCATTCGCGATAGCATCAGAGCACCACCAGCGCGGTGTGCAGGCTGGCAGGCGCGAAGCTGCATCGCAAAATGCTTGAAGGAGCTGTCCAAGCTACGTCTTCGTGTTGTGAGGCAGAGAGGCCGAGATCCACGGGATCAGATCGAGGAGCTCGAGGAGACCTTAGCTTGCCCTCCGAGTCTTTGCGTGGGCAGAGACACCACCTTCGCAGGATGCCAACTTCAAGCTCACCCGAGCTGGTTGCCAGCACTACGATGACGGTTTGGGCTAGTTTGCATCGTCTCGACAGCTTCGATAGCTATCGAGACCCCAAAGCCCGAGTTCGGCAAAGTGAGTCGTGAGTCGTAGATCATGATTGCTTCATTCGGTCACAGCTTTCCCTCAGGCAACTGACCGCGTGGAACGCAGACTTGCAGAACTGGAGACTGCTCTGCATTCGAGTCATCGATTGTTAACGCTTAGCGCCGGCTGCCGCGGCCCTGCAGACCCGTGAGGGGACAGACAAACCTTGGTGGTGGCGACTGCCGCATGTGTGTACCAGTTTGATGGGCAGTTGCCAGTTGCAGGCCCTACTCTCGGAACATCTCGGAATCCTGAACCTTGAACCCTAAATCATGTTCTAGAAATCTGAATACTATGACCCATAGACAGGCTGCTGGAGCCGCAAGAACGTCAGCAAGCAGCGACCCACTGCTGCGAGCCATAGCAAAGAAGTGCGGACGGGAGGGGAGGGGGGAGGTTGCATGGAGGTGGATGGAATTTTGCAAGAACACTGGGCCGGGGGTGGTGGCGAGGGGGAATTGGAAAAAGGGGAGGAGGGGAACCTCGAGACGCCCGGCCAGGCTGAGCCCCCCACCTGAAGCTACAAGAGCCGGAGCTTGCAAGGAGCGTTTGATCGCCACCACAGATGAAAGGACCGAGAGAGCCGGGATCTTACATGCTGCTCAGAGCCCGAAGGAAGAGCAACCTCCCTAAGAACCCTAGCCCTAAACTCTAACAACCCAGAGAACCCAATAACCCTTAATTCAGGAATAGACCGTAAACCATAATATTACGGCCCCTTTGATTTAAGGTTTTTTCCTTAATTAAGACGTATTGGGTTCTCTGGGAACCCTGAAAGACCGGCCCGTTCTCCTTGTGAGCCCTGGTGCATTGCAGACGGTGGGCATCGCACGCCGCGAGATGAATGAAGTGCTGGCCGGGCCCTTGGCATTGACTCCTGTATTGTATATAGTATTTAATATATTTGCTACTTATTTTGTGTGTATATATATATATATATACACATACATGTGTACACACATACATGCATACATACATACATGTTGGGTACTGCCGGATAATATTCAAAACAGTTGTACATAGCCTTAATATGACCCCTAACATAGACTGTTGTAGGGTGGGGGGGGGGCAGTACCCAACATACATGCCTATATCTACGCACACACACAAGTACCAAAAGCCCGGCACTTTGATGTTCAGCGAAAACACAAGAAATTGTCAGTGCAGTTGAACTTGTTACTCAGAAGGGCCGTCTGTTATCAAGCTCAGGACAAGGCTGTTCAGGAGCTGAACCAGAAGGTGGCGGTCGTCTGCTTATTTCCTGACGTCAAGAGATAGGTTGCTAAACTGTCCACCAAGCCTTTCTATCACTGCTCTACCAAGGGTCTCAAAGAGGATGACGCAGCCATCCTACGCGACCTTGACCAAGTCAGGCGAGTACAGGAAGTAGGAAGTCATCGAGGAAAGAAGAACGGAGTTTGGCATACTTCCATCAAGGCAGCACAGCAACTCCGTACAGCAGCTGGACGCGAAACACCACAAGGCTTTTCCCTTCGCGATGTTCTATCTGCTGCAAATGCCAAGCTCGTTTCCTAGACGCCACATGTGGCAAAGTCTTGAAGGAGATTCTGGATCAGCTCAGCACTTTCGCTCTTCGAGTAGATGAGCAGCCCAAGTCTCACAGTGCCGACGTTGCAGATGAATCTTGGCCCATCTCGTTCAAGATATGAGATTCGAAGGTTTGACGAGGTCAACGGCAGCCTCGACAAGCTGCAGGAGGAGGATCAGCGTCTGGACACCGAGGCGGGCAGCTCCTAAGATTCTGTTTGGTTCTGCAAGCGATCTAGTGGACTCAGTCCTGCTGTCCCATGAGACATGTGCCAGGCGCAAGCGGCAAGGGAAGATCACAGGATACAGCTGGACGCTCACCTGGACGAACTGCAAAGGTTGGAGGAGGCCAAGGCCAGGCGAGAGTCTGAGGAAGGAAGTCTCTGCGGACACATTGAGATTGAAGCTTTGGAGGTGAGCGTGGACATGTGGCAATCGGAGGGCAACGCCATGGCTGAAAGGATTACGAAGGACCTTCAAGCCATGCCTGGAGAGTCCGAAAGCGGTTTTGTTCCGGTACCCGTGCAGGATGTGGAAGCTTTGAAGGAGCAGATGAAGGAGGCCTTGGCAAACAGAGGGTGTCGAGTTCAACGTACTGGCCGCTCCGACGCGAGCAGATGTGGAGACTGTCGGGACATGTTAGGAGCTCATGGACCTGAACACTCGATTTGGAAATGTCGGGGCCTTGCGACATTGTTACATTTTCGAAGTTCGAGTCGGAAGTCTAATCTGCACAAGACTTCAGGAGTGCGAATTGACAACTCAACGACTGGAGAAGGCTGCGGGCTTGGAGTGTTTGCAAGCACAAAATGCGGCGTCGGCTTCACCCGTTGTACTGAACGTAACATCAAAAGGCTGGAAGTGTCGTGGGTTACTGCAGCAGGAGCAGTCAGAACGAGCAGAACGAGACGACCTGTTGGACAGGCTCGGATCATTTGGAGTTCGACTGATCTAGGCTCTTGCATTATACTATAATTATAATTATAATAAGGAGCCCCCCCCAACCCTATTCTAGTTATTAAGGCCTCTTGTGTGTGTCTGGCTTCAAGTGGTCCAAGCGGCAGAATCTCAGGACCCTCCAGGAGACGACCAGCCGCTTGGACGCGGAACTGGCCCGGCTCAACAACGACACCCAGGACTTCCGCTGCCCTTGGGGAAGATTTCGGTCAGTCATGTTCTGGATGGGTTTGATCTTGACAGGACAAGTTCAAAGAGGCCAGAGAAGCTTTGGAGGCACGCATTGCTGCTTCTGCTGGGAACGAAGATCGACTTTACTCTTTGCCTGCCCTTCGTCTTTCCGTGGGAAGAAGAGACCATCGCTGGCCACATGCTGCTCCGTTGCATGTGCATAGAGCATCGCGATTTCTAAATTTTGCGGCTCGCGTTGCTGTACTTACTTCGTGAAAGGCACATTCAATGCACAACGCTGTTCATTGTCAGAAAAATGTCAGACATGCATTGATTAAAAGGATGCTTGGGCACCTGCAGCGTACTGTTGTACAAGCGTACCTGGCGTAATCGATGGTAGGGCCATTCCCTGCAAACGGAGCTTCCCCAAATCATGAGTTCGTAGACTGCAGAGCCAAAGGTCTCGCAAACTCTGCGGGCTTGGAGTCCTCGCGATGCCTGTGGGCAGCTCTAGACTGTCCTGCAAAGACTTAGTGTAGACGGGCCATTTGCCAAGCGAAAAGGCAAACCCGGCCGCGGCACGCTATCTTGCACGAGGTCACTCACTCACGATCCTGGCAGGAGACACGCCAATCACTGTCCACCGCAATCGATACCCAGGCACGGGGCGGCCGTCACCTATTGTAGTCAGGCTTGTGAATGCTGCATCCGTTCGGCCTCAGGTCACTGACCTGTCCGACAAAACTGAAAAGCACTTCGACCAATTGGAGCACACTGTCGAGCACAAGGCAGAAGCACAGCAGGGCTTGGGCAGGTGTGCGTGAATGGCTTTTCAGACTGACAGCGAGTGCCCCAGCACGCTAGGAGGACGTGCTTGCTGTCGAGTCTTGTGCAGCAGCTTGCGCGAGCAGGATGAGAAGATCCATACGCGTGTGGATGAGCTGACAGCCAAGAGTGAGGCGACTTTTCAGAGCCTGGTGCCGAGGTTCTAGTGCATATGCAACACCACTGCATGGGTCACCTTGGACGCAGCGATTGAAATCCCGCACATAATGAGGCATCGCTGAACGGATGGATGCAATGGTGCAAGAAGAGCGGGCCAGGCAAGTGGCAGCTTGAAGTTACAGAGGTGACTGGTCAGTGCCTTTCCATGAGCCGGGAAGGCTTGGTCAGCTCAACCAAGACCTATCCGAGAACACTATCAAGGTTCGTTCGGACCTGCATTCAGCCATCGAGCGAGTTTCTGGCTCAGCTTGTCTTCAGCTACGCCTAAACACTCGCTGTTTCATGGGGCTGGTGGGTCCAGTCTCTGCTATGGGAATGCCTGATCCCCTGGAACCAACACCCTTAGCCTGCATTGCAGCAGATACTCCGAGCTCCCTGAAAGGGACGTCCCCGAAAACAACAGGAAGAGTTGCCGTCCTGAAAGGAGGTGCTAGTTGCAAAACTCTGAATCGGCACTGGAAGCTTTCTGCCTCGAATCCTAGCTGTCAGAACCCTGGGCTCAATTCAAAAGCCCTTGACCCTGAGACTTATTGGGAGGGGATGTCGGCCTGCTCGAAAGGGCGTACATCCAACCCCACAAGGTCTGGCTGGCAGACAACTGTCGAGGATGCGTGGGAACCCCAACCCCAACCCCCGAAGGAATACTTTATGGCGGGAAAGTGGGAAACCCTGAACGGCCGTAACCGTTGGCTTGTACAGATCTGCCGTGAGCGTACGCAGAAGTCTCCTCGGAGATGCATGCAAGAGCTTTGTTTCAGAGTGCGCTGGGGCCAGATTTGTGTGCACCTTGGTGCGGGTCCCTGGCTCGTCGGCGCTGCAAGGTCCGGACAGATTATGAAGAAGAGGCAGCTCGTTTGGATGCTGTCAGCTACTCAAGCTCCCAGCAGTCGAGTGAGTGATCTCACCACCGGTTGGCTTCACAAACTTACTTGACCAAATGCCAATGCATAAGGACTTGGGTGATTTGCACATGAAATACGATGTGGCGAAGCAAGAAATCAATTTCTTCCAATCGAAGCTGAAGGACAATGGGAATAAGAAATAAGAAACCGACCGGGAGCATGCCGAGCATTTGACGAGAAACTGAGTTTTGCCCAGCAAAAGTCCGCTACTGTGAGGAGCAGCGAGACTGGACGGAGAAGTGTCTGGCAGAAAGTGGCGCCGTAACTCGGGCAGCTGCCCTGGAGTCTCAGGCCCTGCCGTGAGAGAAAGAGAGAGAACAGCTTTTAATGATTTTAGTGTACATGGACGGATGGGAGCATATGAGTCGGCGCCGCACCTGAATCATGGCTGGGAGCAGCAGCCACCAGCTACGATTCCTTATTTACATATCTGCCAGGAAGGACTGGCAGCGACGACAAAGATGCTTCATGCTTTGCGAGATGATGCAGCCCTGACCTCGCGGCAGGTTAACCTCGTGAAGCGGTAGACCGGGCCTAAGTCAGGTGAGCTTCCGTGAGAAGATGGCCAAGTACATCAGCATCTTGCAGCACTCGTGCCCGCCCCAAGTCAGAGCATGAGCATGTGAGGGACAACATGTGTTGCTTTAGTTTTGGTCTCCAGCAGAAATAGCCGGAACCATGGGTCATGTGAAAGGTCTGACCAGCAGGGTGAAGCCCTGAATTCAGCAGGGCCCCCGTTCGACTCTGACCTGGAACGCGTTTCAGAGAAAAAGACCTTGCCCATGCCTTGTGCCCAGTTGGAGATCCATCGCACATCGATGAGGGCAGAGCTGGACGCTTTAACCAAAGACCATCAGGCAAGCCAAGTACTAAGTCTAAATAGATTTGCTTAGAAACTGAAGATCCCGGTCTTCAAGCTATAGTGTTCTGTGCTGCTTGATGTGCAGGAGTACACTGGAGACATGGACAGCTGGGCGAAGGACACCAATGTCCAGGCAAGGACAAAGACTTGCTTGTATCACGAATAGCACCATCATTGCCAGCTTGCTGGGTGGGCTGGAGCATTGTGGCTTTCGTGCGCAACGGGGGAGCAGCACAGGTTGAGCGACTTTTCCGTGCTCTAGAGCCCACAAAGGCTTGGAGTCACAGTCTTCCCTGCAACAATCAACCATGATTCAGTCAGCACCTCTGCTGCTCAGGTCGAGTGGAGAATAGAGAGAGCTATGCAGAGGACGAAGGCACCCACTGTTGCCAGTACTTTCCAGGGTCGAAAGAAGCTGGTGTTGCTCAGGAGCTCAAGAAGCCCCTTGCTTTGAAGTCCTCTTCTTTTGGCATCAAAGGCCGGACATTCCAAGATCGCAAAGGCACTGGGCATCGCTGGGCCATGTGTCCAGGCATTGGGGAAGGTTTCATGGAGTTCTATCCCGAGGGTAACAACCAGTCGCCGGAGGGTAAGGCAGCCACTTTCGTATCCTTGCTGGCCTGGTCTGGACAGAGCGCAGCATCACTAATCACTAGCAGAGGCGGTGCTGCGCCTATATGTTCCACCACAGGCGGACCGCTCAACGAAAGGCGAAAGGTCATTTTCCTTGCCGGCGTACATGACAGGCACACGTCCGCTACCAGTGCTGGGTCGGCAAAGACTCAGATGGCGCGAAAGAGCCGAGACCTTAGAGACTCCGAGATGCAGTGCCGAAGGCTATCAATGCATCCACACGCCTTTTCAATGTCGCTTCCCCGTGCTGGAGGGTCCTCCTAGGTAAGGTCGGTAAGCATTCAGAACGCAGAAGCAGAATGTCTGTAAATCTCAAACGGATCAGGCGCTTGTGTCAGGACGCTTCGAGCAGCTTGAAGTGTTTCGAATGCTCAGCGATGGACGAAGTCACCTCACTTTGCACTGGGCGACTTAGGGATCTGAAGGCTTCAGAAATTCCGCTCGATGGCGTGGCCAAAGAGGAGCCTCGACGTCATTTTTTTGCTCACTTTTGCTACCAGGCTTCCGCGCAAAACACGACGAGATTCGAAGCAGCGTATCAACACAGACGCCAAACGATACCGACAGATAGTCTTGACAAACCAGCCTGAGGTTTTGCCAAAGCCTGCTTGAGCCCAACAGGTTTCAGCTTCCCTCCCCTGGAAAGGACCTTCGAGCCACATACCTGCAGCGACACAATGGCAAAGTAATCGTGATGCCGAAGCTGGACTCACGACCCCGTGCGCCCGGGGCGTCCTTCATCAATTTTTCGCAAAAGACAGCCACTCAGTCACTGGCGACGTATGCAAGAATCACACTCAGACAGAAACGATGAAAGCTCACAGCAACATATATGGCCCGGAGGTCTGAAAGCACAAACAAAGAACTCCTGCCTTCCGAGTTTATTTGGTTCCAGTTTGGCTTCGTGGCCACGTTAATGGAAGACCCAGGCGAGCTCCATCGACGGATACTTTGTATGTGGATATGTTCCTCGCCGACTGGGAGGACATGACGAAACGTGGGCTAGCACTTGCTCAGCGACTCATGCCTTGTTAACCTCACCATTTGTCTGGCGGCTCTCTCGTGTCTTTTCATGTGGTCTCGTACTTGTTCCTTAACAGCATCGTAACTTGTCTGGAGACTTGCAACTGAAGCCCAGCTGTTATCTTGGACACTTCTGACTTCTTTGAGTTTGTGGCCGCTGTCGCCCTGAAGGATCAGCTCACTGACGAAGGAGCAATAATGGTCATGGTGGAGGCATCACCTGTGGCAGAGCTTCTTGACAGAGGTTTGGCTGGATGTGTGACATTGTAGGTTCTCAGAGACTATAACAACGATGACGCGCTGCGTGCTTACCGGTCTGTGAATTTGCATAAAGTACCAGACACCAGAAGACATTGGTGGACGCGGACTAGTCTACCTTTCGCGCCTAAGTGTGCATACTGCATTCCGGTCACCGGCATAATTCAGGTCGCTGTCCAGAGAGATCCGGATCAACAGCGCCTAAAGGCACAACACCGGATGGGAGACTGTGTGAAACTAGCCAGGCATCTTTCCCAGTAGTCATGCTGTACTGTTGGCAAGTACTGGAAGCATCTATCGGTATTTGAAACAATGCTGCGAGACAGAATCCCCTGAAGCTGAAGCCTTGGACTCTCTCAAGTTTTGGACAGGTTGGAAGCTGCCGGCTGCTTTCTTAGCAGAGTGGTACACAGAATCTTGCATGGTTTGGTCTTTGTTGCCGTATAGACTACATGACGCACGCTATTGATCTTCAGGCCGTGCGGGCCCTGCTGACTAGCAGCATATGCTCGGGAAGTGTGCATGCCTAGCGAGTAGTTCCATTCTGGAGGTTTGCCTTTCCACCAGTTCTACTTATTTATGGTCTGTTAGGCACAACAATCGTTGTAATGTAGAGTCAGCGCGACGGTTTCACCGTGCCCAGTGCTTTGGATGCAAACGCATCGAGCAGAAAGAGGTGCACCTCAGCTTTCACCCGCTTGTCCAAAAAAATGGACCGAGGCAACACTTGTAATGCGAGGGATGCTGTCTGTCAAATTGCCGTGGCTGCGTGAATATTGGCGCCCATATAGAGAAGGTGCCCTGAAAGTTTGTCGATCGTAAGGCTACACGATAGTCCCCGTAGCATCCTCGGCACGAAGTTCCTAGCAACATCATCGGCAGTAAAAGTTGCCAAAGCAGGCATGAAGCAAACCGGGCAGTAGCACACAACATGTGGCTCTTGCAATGGGCCGCCGGACCCCTATCGCTGCGCTGAGGGCCTCCCAGCAGCTGCTTTCATCCGGTCTTTGACAGGTCGTTTCGCACGTGACGGAGAACCAGAACCCGAAGGAGAGCCAAAGGAAGATGACGAGGAAACCTATTCAGAAACGAAAGTGATTGCGGTAACAGCCTGCAGCCCCTCGCCCCATGTTGTCAGGCGCTCGCTGCCTGGAAGGCTTCGCGTGCAACCTCGCGCACACTTCGCTGCGTTTTGTCCAACATCCCTTTTGGTGAAAGTCGGCGCAAGGCGCTTGACCGAGACAAGAAAATCGAGCACTTGCTGAGCATTCCCTTGTCAAAGGAGTGCCGGTGGCATGAGCCACACATACGATGTGAAGGTCGATTGCAATGTTGTTGCAGGATGCGAAGAATAAGTACCACGAGCACAAACTCAAGACCGAGCAGGTGCTTCTCTGAGAGGTCTTGCTACTATGCAGGATGCAATAATTTTCTTTCTCTGCAAAAGTTACAAGAGACAAGTGATGGCCCGTGCCGGTCGAGTAAAGAAATGTCATGGCATGCATTGCAAATAATCATGCACGCATCCACACTCATGGCCTTGTTTTGTGCAGACACCTCTTAAGCTGCAACCATGTATGTCTAAGCAGAATCAGCCTCCTGGCAAGTGAACTGCTAAGCAGCAACGGAAGCTCCACAATGTGAGGTTTGACATAGCAGCAGCGCAAGACAGACGACGTTTCAAATAATTCTCATGTGCCTGAAGCAGAGATCTCGTGCTGGCTACACCTTGATTGACTTCACATAGCTCCAAATCTAAAGGTGCCAGCCGCTAGCCCAATCCTTACAACCAGTTGGCTAAGCATCGACTCTGACAGAGGGCACACACTTACTCAGTTGCTGGTCTGTGTGTAGTCGTGCAGACATCAGACGAAGTCTGCATCAGCAAGACAATTTCGTAAAGCCGTCCAGCATTGGTTATTGTGTTCGCTGAATCTTGGCAAAAATGTCGGCACATGCCTTCCCCGGCCGAAGGCAGAAGTTGATCATGATGAGTGGGTGGTGAGCTCGTACGCGCATTGATTGACTCGACATGTAAGTAGCGCCCGATTGCAAGGTTCGGCGACTGGGAGGGCTTCTACAGTGTCCGGACCCTGAGCTGCGCATCAAACGCAGGACGCCGTGTCCCCGAATCACAGGTTTCGACAAGACCCCGCCTGTGCAATGTCAAGTCCTTACCCGACAGTGCAAGCCCCGGTCTCGCTTTCTGTGAGCACAACATTGTCGATCACGAGGTGATTTGCTCGACCAGTACTTCATGTTCAAGCTTTGCAAGAAGGCCATTTGGCAAATGTAATGCCTCCCTTGTATCACTAAACTTGGAGTGTATCTGTGAGAACAAAGGTTCGAAGCATCGACATTCCTCCCGATGCTGTTATTCCAGAGGCCCTGCCGCAGAATCCACAAAAGGGGAATGGCACGGCCGCGGTTCTGGGACATGGCGACTACGGGTGTCACGATACGGCAGGAGTGCAATGGCACTAGTGCAGCAGGGGTGGGAAACTTCCAGGAACGGCGGGCAAGGGCGTTGTAGTATGAAAGAGATGTGGAAGGAGTCGGAGGGGGTGCAGAGATGCAAGGAGAGGGGGAGATTACGTGAGACAGCTCTCAATGCCGGGCAGCTTGATGCTTCGGCGAGCTTCACACACCAGCATTGCCAGGGATGCCACGATCTCGCTGCGTCCTTGGAAGTCTTCCGTGCGTAGAGTGTTGTCAGCTGCACTGCTTTCCGTCACGCAAGTTTGCCGTCTGTCTTGTAAGCACTGCGCAGCTCCGAGCATGCGGGGTGGATACCAGGATAGAGTACCAGCTCTCAGCACTACGCCACTGCAAGTCTCAGGTGTCTGTTGATCAAGAGGAGGATGCTGCATCCGAGATGATGTAAGACATGCAATTCGTGTGCAGTGTGTGACATTTGTTGGTGCTCGCATATTTTCGGTTGGCCGAAGAATTTAGCAATGTCCCGCCGAAAAGTTAGCACAGGAGACCTACCGACAACAACATGGTCTACCAGATCTCTCGATGAAGCCGAAAAAAGAGCTGCAGCAGGCACGATGTCTGCTCGGCGACCTGCGAGTCTCACGTTTCCCTAGCATAGATATTAGTTTATGTTGTGTTATATATATAATATACATATATATATATATAAGTATAACATTATTTCGGGTTCGTATGAAATCATGTATTATATTGTATTATATTATTTTCTGTATATGGAGATTAAACAATGTATATACGGGACCGGAGCGGGACTTGAGCAGGAACCGGAGAAGCTCGGGTTGCTTGGTAAGCAGTTCAGTGCAGACAAAGCTGCGTGAAAGTGCCTCTGCTGGGCTCTTCTACCGAGACTGTTTGCTGCAGCAGAGCAACAAATTGCCCAAGTCTCAGAGCCCGGAGATGTGTGTCTCCAAAAAGCCCTAAAATGCAGCCTGCTATGAATGCTGAAGCTAGGAATCGCTAAACAAAGTGGAGCAAGAGCCAATGCCTCAGTGATCGTCCTCTTTAAGTCAGACCCGTCCAGTCCTCCAGAATACTTGTTGAAAATGTGAGGGTTTCGAGGTCCGAAGACGAGGTGTTGCAAAGGCCAGAGAAGAGGTCGTGGGCCTCAGCACCTTGTGCTCCGACCTGAGCATGCGTGCTGTGATCTGTCTGAAGCTTGAGGCCACGTGCCGATGTCTTTCAGTCCTTTGCGACGCAAACTCAGTAGCTGCACTTCGTTGTGACGTTGGTGACCTGTGCACATCCGACAGTTCTGGTGCATCTTGGCCGAGGAACTTGCAGCCGAGGACAACACCAATCTCCAGAAGCTCAGGTGGGGGAGCAAGTAGAGAATGTATGCGGAAGCTTCAGCGACACGATGACCTTGGATGTCGCTCGTTGATTGCAGTGAAGAAAGGTTGTGATGGTTTCGCAGGTCCACGTGGCATCACATAGCATGCGTAGCTAATGTTCACTTAGAAAGGTCGGAGAACGCGTCCCACGGGAGGGCTGGAAAGGAACGCCCTCCCGAGTTGCGACCTCCTAGCCATCCTTTGGGATCTTTTCGGTAGACAATAGATTGCAGAGACTATCAGAGACTTGTGGAAGGCAGCGGTCTCCAGCGGCCTTCAATCAATGCAGACAATGTCTTTAGGGAATGGCAAGGGGCGCCTCGCGGCGGAAAAAATCATTGAAAGAAATGAGAAATATTCAAGATAATAATTCAAGATGCGCCTAAAGAATTAGATTAAATTTATAACCCTCAATATAGATATATATTGAAGGCAAACAAATGAATTATTTCTATGAAAATTTAGCTATGCTATAAAGGGGCGGAGATTCTATGATTCCAAAATATCTAAGAAAGAATATGCGAAAATAGTTGAGAAACAATCTCGGAATATAAAGATTCTAAGAAAAAATTTGAGAAATAATTTATGAATATATTAAATTATGAATAAAGGAGAGTAATATTAAGTAATATAACTAGCAAGATCGGGGTATTTCTGTCTATTGATATAGTAATATAGAGATTTTATTATAAAGAATTATATTAGTATGCATATATTTGTATATAGAATAAATATTTGTCCATATGTTTGTATATTTATGGATATAGAATAGAATATTAATATATATCTATATATCTTGCGAGGCAGATAATTAGTTAGATAAATAAATAGATAGATAGAAAGATTGATAAAGAAGAAGATAGGAATAAATATATATATATATATGCAGATAATTTGAATTTTAGGAAACTTCCCCATATAGATAATAAGAAAAATTCATAAGAGAATAGAGACGGCAAGGAAAGGAGATTCAAATTCTATAGGATTTTAGTGGCTAGTTAGGGGTCGGGGTTACGAGGTAGTAGGGTCGTAGGATATGCGGTCGAGAAATCTCGAGAAGCGTCCTAGATTTAGATGGCGGGGCGCGGCCTAGATTATGGTCTAAGCCGCGTATTCCGGCCTTTTAAAATCTCGGCCGCACTGAGCTTTGCCGTCTGCTCAAATCTATAATATTTATCGAGATTTGATGCTCCGCCCGGACCTTGGCTAGGTCCGCACCGCCTCTTGCCGCAACTTCAGGCCTGAGTCGAAAGACCCGATAATGAATGGCCTATATATTTTGAAAATTTTTTTTTAATCTTAATTTCAGTGACTAGTAATTAATAATATAATTATAATATATATAATTATAAAAATGAGATATTAATTATGAATTTATAATCCTGCCATATGCCGCTACGAATCTCGTTGCGAAATATTAGATATCTTTATTATCTGATTAGTGTCCCAAATAGGGAATCTTATTTTGCTATTGTTGTGTTTTCTATGTCTTCAGCAGCCACTTGCATATTTAATCGAGCAACAATTTTCATTAAGATTCTATCGGGCATGCCACATACGGCACTTTCGAATTTTCATGGGGGCTGAAATAGTTACTTTCAATTCTAATCGGGCATATCAAATAAAATTTTGCCGGCATGGCACGATACCGAGCTTGATATCAAAAATATGAGTCGAATGCATTGAAACCACTTATCATTGTAATTAACTAGCATTACTGAGCAGCAATTTCCGTCGAAATTCGGTATGCGAGCAACCCTATGGCTGGATAACCGATCTAATAATAGTGATAAGCATCCAATTTCTAAATATATATTTCTAATTATCGTCTATCTTCAAAGAAAATTCATAATCTTTTCAAAATCAATCTTCAAAGACGTATCATTCCTCTCGATATATATTTGTCATATATTTTCATATATTTTTTTCTTCTCAAAATCTTGATTCTGAATTCCTGAATCCTAGATGATATGGGTTGGATGCAGTTCGAGCGCGTGGGAAAGCGCCCACTGCAGTTCGGGCGCGTGGGCCTTTCAGAGCCTGAACAAGCATGTTGTCAACATGTTGTCAAAGTTGTACAAGAGCCTCAACAAGCATGTTGTCAACATGTTGTCAAAGTTGTACAAGTTCTAAAAGTTCTAAAAGTTCTAAAAGTTCTCAAAGTTCTAAAAGTTCTAAAAGTTCTAAAAGTTCTAAAAGTTCTGAAAGTTCTAGAAGTTCTAGAAGTTCTAGAAGTTCTAAAAGTTCAAAAAGTTCTAAAAGTTCTAAAAGTTCTAAAAGTTCTAAAAGTTCCAAAAGTCCTAAAAAACCTAAAAGTCCTAAAAGTTCTAAAAGTTCTAAAAGTTCTAAAAGTTCTAAAAGTTCTAAAAGTTCTAAAGGTTCTCAAGTTTCTAAAAGTTCTAAAAGTTGTAAAGGTTTCTACGGTTTCGGTTTTAGCGC